AGAAAATTAAAAAGGTATAAAAATTATTAATTAACCTAATTCTATATTTTTGGATTTTATTAAAAAGGAATTAAAGTTAAAAACCTAATTAAACTAAATAATTACATGTAATTTATTTATAAAAGTAATTAAAATAAAAATTATATTTTTTGCCTTTTTCTGATTTTTTATGATATTTTTCATATTTTTGTAAAAATGATTAATTAATTAAAACAAATAAAATAAATAAATAAATAACATAACAATTGAGAAAATGAAATATAAAAAGAAAATCAAACCAGGGGGGGTAGCCCCAGAATTGGAGGTAAGGCCTAGCATTCTGGCCCATTAACATTGAAATCCACTTGACTTTTCAGTTCACGTGCCAATGCGTTGACCATAGCGTATCATGTGCCTTGAATCTGAGCCCTTTGATTGATCTACTGGGACGTGTGGACGATGAGTTTTGAGTGTGTATGGTATGCCCTGGACGTTAGCGCTGCACAAGATCTTGTATTGAAAAATATTATTGAAATTTATACAGACCTGGGGTTCGAACCCAGGTCTTGGACAATGCAAAGGAATACGCCTGCCACTGAAGCACTTGAGTTACTTTTAACATATAATGATTAATGAATATAATAAAAAGAAAAGAGAGTTAGTGGCCTTCAACGCGCCAATTTTTGAACTGACGAATCACAGCGTGCCATGTACTCATCTTCCTCGCGTGCCTGAAATACAAAACACAGAGGCAACGGTTTCAACGCGTTGTGTTAGGCATGTTTATGAAAAATAGCGACTAGCGCTGTGACATCAATAAATTGATCGCGAGGGTCCATATCTCCTCGTCTTGATGAGCTGGTTTGAATGGCATAAGTCTGGAACCCTAATTTTACTGTATTGTAAAAGCCCTAAATCAAGCTCTAAAGAACCCTAGAATATGAAAATGGTAGAATCGTGTATGGCCAATGAAAACTCAATTGAACATGATGGTTAGTCTCAGAATTTCATAACAAACATTAATCAACAAACAAAAAGTACAAAGGATGCGTGATTTATGCCATGCGATTTCAAGAAATTCTGGATACAGTGAGAGTTCTCTCTACCAATTCTTGGAGCTTTGAAGGGTGTTTGGAATTGGAATGTGATCAAGAGTCCACGAGCAAGCTTTTGGAATCAGTCTTAGGGCTTAAAACCACCTAGAACCTTGATTTCAGAATTGAGTTATATGGCCAATTTTTCAAGTTTTCAATAAGCTCTTTAGCGCAGCATTTGGTGTGTTATGGTTAGGGTTTGACTTAGCACTTATGAGGGAAGAGAATTAGCTTGCTAGCTGGCCTTGATTCATGCTCATGAGAGAATTAGTCCTAGGGTTTTCACCATTAACCAATTTTCCCTTTTTTTAAGCCAAGACCAAGACTTAGTGTATAATCTAACCCTAGCATGAGTTATTGAGCTGGCCCATGATACATGGAAGTTGTCCAAATTCAAATGACACTATTCCATTGGTTTTTGAATTTTATTTGAATTTTTAAAGATTTAAAATGAATTAAATTATCAAAAATTAAATAAAATAGAAAAATCAATGTTTGATCTTGAAATTAATCATGGGACACGTGTGTGGCATGACAAGGATGGATCAAGTGGAAGAAAGTGGGCCCTTTTGTCGAAAATTGGAGTTTCAAGGATAGTTGACTTTTGCCATTTCACAAAAATTTCCCAACTTCTACAAGGCATAACTTGCTCAATTTTTAATATTTTCACATGTTCTTGGACATTTTGGAAAGGTCTTTGAGTCCTCTAACCAATGCCTTTGGTCCCATGTCATTTTGATTTACCAATCTCAAGTTATGGCCTTTGACTTAAAGTCCCTTTTTGTTGACTTTTGAAAATGACCTATAATGTTGAAATTGATAACTTTTTGTGAGAGCATTTCTTGGACTTGAAGTATGAAGATGAGTTGTAGGAAATGTCTTTCTCTTCAAAATGAGCTTTGGATGGAATTTTTCTGATAATCCATGTGAAAGTTATGCCCTGGTCAATTTCAGTTGACTTTTTCAGCTGTCCAAATATAGCAACTTTTGCATCTTTGATGATTTCTGAGCCAAATTTTGAGAATCATGATCAAGCATTGATCAAATGATGTTTGTGGCTTCAAAATGATATGTTGACCAAAAATTTGGACTTTTGACTGCCAAATGACCATTTTGCCCCTACAGTTGACTGTAGTGCAATTTAGGGTTTTGACTGTGCAATCTTGAGCTGAATGCCTTGAAACTTGATATGAGGATGCTTGACCATGTTTGTAAGCATATGAGACTTGATTGGGCCTTTGAACACTTCTTTTTCTTGATCAGACTCAAAACCCTAATTTTGACTGTATGGGAGACTGTTGCACTGCACAACCCTTGGGGAATTTTGTAGCTTGGCTTGGCAATTTCTTGAGGAATATGGGAGGGCAAATTTTGGGGTATAACATTAGGGCATAGACTTGAAAAAATGAAACCCTTTGACTCTGATCCCTCTAGAAATTCCTTTAACATCTTCGGATGGTACTCCAATATTTTTCGGTATATAAGCTCTCTTACATCTTCCCTTTAAATCTATTAGCAAAGATGCAAAAACACAAAAGCTTGTTGATGCTGATCTGATGGAGATTTGGAACGTTGAAAACGGAAGATGTGGTGGTAATGTGTTTCGTTGTTCTTGATGTTGAACAGAGATGATGAAGATGAGGGAGTTTCAGTTGTTGTGTTACAGTGAAGATGGTGTTGAGAATGGATCCATGGCGGTGTATGAATGGTAGTTGTGGGGCTAGATCGAAAGTAACAGGATATTGAGACGAGTGTGGGTGAAGCGGTTCCTACGATTTCAGTGAGGATGAACCGACATATCGTTTATGTTAAGACTACTTGAGTATTGCCAACTTGCAGTTTAGAGAAAGAATGATTTAGGGTCTGAAGAGATACAGATTCGTATATTTATGATTGGGTTGGAAAATACCGAAAGGTGAAAGGATATGATTATCTTCATATTGAAAGTTGTGTAGTTCATAACTGCACATCAATTATTTTGTATTAGACCGCAAGTGTAATGTATTTTCATCGATGGAGGGATAACTATTCATTTCAATTGCAGACATTAATTAATACTAATTTTGTAATATAGATTGTATAAAATAAAATAATTATAAAATACCAACAAAAAATTTGGATGTGTCACATCAGCATCATTAAATACCAAATCAATATAAAGATATTAGTAGGGGTGTTCGCGGTTCGGTTTGGATCGATTTTAAAGCAAAAACTCATCTGATTCAAAGATTAATTCACTTAATGTTCGGTTCGGTTTTGGATGATATATTTAAAAAAATCCAATCTGATCCGATCCAATTTTATGCGGTTTAATTTGGATCGGTTTTTGGATATCCAAATTACACATTATATTTTTATTAATATTATAAAACTACTAATAAATCATAGATTTGATATAATATATAACATATAGTATATTAAAAGTTAATATTACAAAATGAGAGTGATTGATTATGCTTGAAATAATAAAAATAAATAGATTATACCAAACTAATAAATATTATTAAAAAAATTATTATCATCTAATAATAAATTCACATGTCATATTAATAAAAAGTAAATAAGTATCAAAATATATTTATGCGGTTCGGTTTGGTTTGGATCGGTTTTGAAAAATTCATCCGAAATCCAATCCGAACCGATCGGTTTTCATAAAATAACATTCAAACACAACCAATAACTTTCAGTTTTTTTATGATTTTCGGTTTTTTGGATCGATTTTCGATTTTTTATTTGGATTGGTTTGGATTTGAACACCCCTAGATATTAGCGACTATTTTACCCTTGCGCAATTAGTCAAATTTAATCTTTTATATTTATATATTTATAATAGATACAAGTAGTGTGATCTAACTGAGAAATAAATTTTACATATTTTCATGTCCCCATTTAGTAAACTTACAGTTGCATCTTCCGTGAAGATTAAGTTGTGACTGAATGAAATTCACCGTGAAATGTTGAGTTCATCTGAATCATCTACGTTCTCCATATTTTGATTTTGATGGAGATTGCTTCAAATCTCATAAATTGATATTGAATTAGATCAAACAAATCAGATTCATGTTGCACGAGTTGAGATGTCTTTTTGATTAATTTACATTGAGCACAAACAACACATTTATTTTGTTATTTATCACTAAGTAAAGTTATACCAAGAGATTCTAATTTAAAAACATGCAAATATATTTTCTAGCATGCCAAATATCAACATTTTGTGAATCACCAATATACACAAGTTCTTCTCTATTCCCTAAGATAATATAGGAGATAAAAGTGTGTTGTCTAATAGCCCATAATATATCACTCCTTTGTTCATATTCATCACAATACTAAAATGGGAAATGACCACAACAATCATATCATTCCTTACTACCAAATATAATCACAAAAATTGTCAAAAATATATAACCATATTAACTTCCAAATCAAATCAACTGTCTAATCCAACTTTGGATTCCCCATCAAACATATAACTTGGTTAATTTTTACTTGTAGGAGATAAGCAATTTAGTTATGTATAATTTTTAAAATCCCAATACTCAATGAGTATATTTATTTAAAGAGCCTTTTCAATTTCAACACCAAATTTCCAGTAATTAACTAGGAAGTATTGCGCAAGACCAGTTTCATTTGTGTTGCCAAATGCCTCAACTGTGACTATTCCATAGGAACATGTGTCCCAAAATTATCTATAGGAAAATTTATATTCAAAAGTATTATGTCAGAATGAAGATCCTGCAAGATCACCAAGTTCTAACTCAAAGTCCAGGTTATACATAGAGATCAACAGTTAAAGCCACTGATCAACATATATAAATAGACCTCTTGAATTGAAGCATTCCTATAACTGTACAATATATTGCTATGAGCAGAACTATGCAAAAGTTAACAACTCTAGCAACTTCTCTGACCGGAAAATTCATCAACTCAACGATCAGCTGCCAAAGCTTGGTTATCATTACCACAGAAAACGGCAAGATTGTTATGTGTGGGGACAGATGCTGTTCCATAGTCTGAGATATTATGTTGATCAACCTGGTCATCGCAAGCAAAAAAGAAAAAACAAGGGTAAAAAGATGTACATATTATTACACTGATCTGATTAATATACGGAAAATAAAATAAATACCTGTTCGGCTGATACAATAGATGATTCTTGATGTCTCCTGGAAAGTTCTCTCAAAGTACCCTGTAGAATATACCATTGTCATAAAAGGGGGAACTGTTAACTATTACTCAGTCGGCATAAAAGAAATTTCAGATTCACAGATGAGCAAATTTTGCTTAATGAATGTGTGTATATGTTAGTCATATAAATGTACACATTAAAGAGAAGAAAATACAAACCGACAAACACATTTTTCCAAAACTAAAAGCTTTGGAGAGAACGCCTACCTTATTTGCCCAGAATAGCCCACAAGCATTGCAAAGCGATCTTGGACCAGATGGCCCTCGCCGCATCATAGGAGTCAATTTTGAGCTTATGCCACAATGTGTGCAGCTACTTAAACATGCAATTAAAAAAGTAATGGTTAAAATCTAGTTAGATACCTCCCTGGGAAGAGAATTTTCTTTGAGTATAAGTCTCATAATGAAAAATATATTGGCTATAAGAAAAGAACAGTAAAACAAAACTCACGAGGTTTCTGATTGACTTCCATCATACCCGGAATCCTGGTCTGTGGGACTATTGGCTTCATTTTGTTCCTTATCCGAAGTAAATTGACCCTTGTTTCGCTTCATCCTACATTTAAACATAAAACAAAAGTTTGAAACAAGATAGAGTGAAACATAGATAACATGGAATAATTAATGAGATGACAAAATACCAAGACCTAAACAAAATATGATGAGAAGAATAACTAACATCCATTGACTTCAAGTCATTTATTATTTATTAATACAATACATACAACTAATACTACGCATACTACCTATTACATATAGTAAAGACTAAGCACGTCGCACGGCAATTATCATTCCACTTTCCACTCTATCAGTATAAACTATTGACATAACATGCATCTAACATACTTATGGGTTATTCTGTTACGGCATGCATTGTATTCAATTTCTTTGTATTTGAGTAGAGGAGGAGGAAGAAACAACACGAAACTACTACTGTAAGTTTCTTGTTTACTATTGTCAGGGTCAATATTTGTTTCTATACTAGTGTTGCCAATGGAAGATGGTGGACTATGGAGGCAAGCAAAACATCTCCCGTATAAAGCTGCCAAAAAACGCCATTCACAGATCAGCTACGGTGGTTGTCAAAAAAATAGCTGTAGCAATCTGCCATGGCCAGTATTTGACACCATTGTTCTAAACAATAGGAAGCATTTGAAGAAAATGCAATGAAAAAGGTTCTAATTTTGATAAAGTTGATTTTGTTACCAAGCAAAAAATTTAGAATGCCAAAAGGAGAGAATTACAAGAATACTGCGCTGAAATAACACAACATAGGACGCCAATCAAAGTTTCAAAGTGCGCAAAAACTTAGATGACAAGTTTAACAAGGCAGATTGATTTTTTTTTAGATGAAAAGGTTTGTTAGACCTCTGTTGGAGATTCCACCTTCATTGCGGTCTGCCCCTAGCCGCCTAAATTGCGACATTTGCGTTGCCTTCGTTGCACCCTCAAACACCTACATTATGTTGGGTTTGAAGGAGAGGATTTAGTCCCACATTGCTTAGAGATATGTGTTGTGTTTATAAGCGGAGACAATCCTCACCTTACGAGCTAGTTTTGTAAGGTTGAGTTAGGCTCAACCACAATTCTTAAGAACCTCAATTTTAATTAATGTGTAAACACGGCATAGTGTAGTTTAACACTAAGTTCAGATCTAATTCCTAAACAATTAAAAGACAGGGTTCTCTATGGTATGAGTTTGCGCCAAATCAACAAAGATATAAAATTGTCACTCAACATCTGATGCTGTAAAGTCAATCTGGTAACAGGGCCAAAATTGAATTCCTCAAGACCCGCCAAATGTAAAATCTACCATCATATTGCCACTTCCAAATGAGAAAGCAATTAAAAGCAAATATTATGGACAAGAACCTACACATACGGCTGGGCTTGGGCCGTAGTTGTACCAAGTCAAGCCTAAATGCCAACATGATTCGATGTAAAATTAGATTAAAATCTGAAAACAATTGTATGAAATCATCACTCCCAATCATCATTCACATGATGAATCTGACATTTAATGCGGTAAAATCTTATGCTTGGAATGCAAACAACTTTACCCTATGCTCAAATTTAAAATAAGTCATTCTAATACTCGTAAGTTTATATTAGAAACACATGTAGGATAGTTATCAGACCTGAGTGCAACTTCTTGACGTACATCATATCGAACTTTCTTATCAAAGCATCTATCTTTCCTCTTCTGCCTGAACCTGATTAATGAGGCTGCTCGCCGTTGGTGACTGTATCTAGTAGGAAATTCCATTGATACCTGCACCAAAACCCAAAGAATTAGAAATTTCAATTAAACGCAGTGCACTTGAACATTAATCAAGTTCAATTAAGAATAATTCCATTCACATCACAGGCACATCAATTCACCAATTCATAAGCAGTCTACTATCATATTATCAATCATCATCAACATATTTACTACTACACATCAAGACACCTACAAATATTGACCACCTAAGCTAGTATTTAGCATAGTAATCACTACCTTCATCCACTCACTAGTTAGCTATAAGATTAACAATAATCCAATATCAAAAATATTTATAACCCAATCTAATGCATATACAAATTACAAATGACCACTATGTTAAAAGTTGGATGTAAGAAATACAAACACTGTGCATTAGTGACCCATATTAGACTACTAGACAATGATTATCTTATCTAAGCTACTTAGTAAATTGTAAAATGATATGCTATGTAGCACCGACAAAAAGGGGTGTCAGTGTTAGACACCGACATATTTTATTAGATTTAACTTATTCATTTTTTCAAACTATTACAGTAGTAGAAGTGTCAGTGTCGGTATTGTATCCGGTGTCCGTGTTTTACATAGGATATGAGTGCATTATTCTTCAAAAATTAGAAAATATACCCTCTGAGTTTGTTGAGGCACGGCATCCACATATCGTGTACCCGCTTGAGGCAGTTCAGATCCACCCAACAGTAACAACACCGCTTGAACCTGTAACGTGAAACTAAGTGCAAATTCTCATTTCCAAATAAATAAATAAAATCAGGTTTGAACAAAAAAAATCAAATTAGTTAATTACTCGGTTTAGGTCAATTACAGCAGCAAAATAAATTTATAAAATTGATGGAAATTATTGAACCTTATCAGGAGTGACAGATTCAAAGACATAGACTTGACCACGGAAAGACAGAGAAAGCTGATCAGAATTGTCATTATCAATAGGTTGAAGAGGCAACTCAGAGTTGTTTGCATCGCAGTGGTTATACATGATGGCAGCACCACCGTCACCGCTGCCATCTTCGTTTGTTTCGTAATCAATGTCATGGTGAACATCTAAGGAGGCGGCATCAGGACGGGGACCGACTTCATTTTCTCCGGTGAGGTTCAAAGGCGAAGAGTGTTCGTACATTGCTGGTTCTAATGCATTACAGAAGAAAATCGTTGAGAATTTGAAACCCTTAGGCTAGGGCAGGTTTTTGGGTTTTGATTGAGTGAATGCAAGTTCAGAAGAAAAACACTAACAAATTGAAAATTAAAAATAAATAACAAATTGACCCTGGTGATATTTAGTAGGCTTGTCCAATTTAAGGGAAATTAATATGTCAGCCTCCATTTTATACATGTTATCCTCCAAATTTCAATATTTTCAAAATATCCTTTAAATTATTTATTTTAAATTTTTTTATTTTTGTTAAAAAAAATTTACTATTAATCAAAAAGAAAATTTTCGAAATTCCGGTACTCATAACAAATTTTTGATACCAATTTTTGTCACATATCAGAAATTCTTTATATTCTATAAATTTCCGGTAGTGATATATCAGAAATTTCGAAATTTCCGGTTATAATTTATCGGAAATTTATAATTTTCGGTAAATTTTACAAAAGTTCTATAAATATAGAAAATTTAGAAATTTTTCGGTAGAAAACCTTTACCGGAAATTTCAGTTAAACTTGAAATTTCTGATATGTCTGCAGATGAAGTTTTATATCTTTACGATCCCGAATTGACAGCTTCTTCTACGGATTCATGTACTTGTCTTACGCAGTTCTTCATCACATATATCATATGTTTTCTATACCATTTACACAATTACGAAATTATTTTTTGTAAATTAATGAAGTTTATTAATTATATGTTATTGTAATGTTATTGTAATCGTCAGATTTTTTATATCACGAGATAAAGTTCTAAAATGGGCACAGACTACTGGAAAAATCATGGTCTTGTTGTTGTTACAATTCGGTCTCATACTGCTAATGGAATGTGAGGGAGGAAGGATAAATTGATTATGGGTTGTGACAGAGGAGAAAATTACAAAAAGAAAAATGAATTTGTGAAACTTTCATATGGCAATTATACTATGAAGGCTAGATGTCCATTTAGGTTGAGATATGTTCCAAGTGGTATCGATTGGAAGGTGATGGTTAGATGCGGGATGCACATTCATAGATTAGATAAGGATTTAGAAGGTCATGACATATTGGACCATCTAAAAGATCGTGAAAGAAAGTTTGTGAATGACATGACGAAGTACAACATGACACCAAGGTATATCGTGTCTGCTTTAAAAGACAAAGACCAAGAAAATCTCACAAGTATTACCCAGGTATACCGAGCTAGAGCAACATACAGAATGGGCAAGAGAGGTGCAATGACAAAAATGCAAATGCTTTTGAGTCTTATTCATCAAGAGAAATACATGTGTTGGACTAGAAAATGGGAGAATTCAGATATTGTGGTTGATATCTTCTGGACACACCCTGACTCTGTGAAGTTGTTGAATATGTTTCCCCTGGTGTTAATTTTTTATTGCACATACAAGACAAATAGGTAAGAATTTTACTTATATTATCCTAAAATATGTTAAATGAGCTGGTTGATGAATATGTATTTTAATCGTGCAGGTACCGACTACCACTGCTAGAGATTGATGGTGTTACATCAACAAAATTGACGTTTTCAGTTGCTTTTGCCTATTTGGAACATAAAAGGGAGGAGAAATTTACATGGGCACTACAGAAGCTCAAAGAGTTATTCTATTCAGAGAAAATGCTATCAAATGTTATGGTGACAGACCGGGAACTTGCATTAATGAATGTCATTGATTTCGTGTATCCGAATGCAACTCATTTGTTGTGTACGTTCCATATTTCAAAAAACATAAGCATGAAATTGTTTCTCCGTGAAACAATCGCTAGCCTCTTTTTAAAGGTTACTTGCGGGATCGGTTACAATAATCTTAAACTTAGTGTTTAAAGTGTTTTTTGGGTTGAAAAAAGGGATAAAAGGGCAAAAGATTAGGCAATTGCGATGAAAATAAATCAAAGACTATAAATTGCTAAGAATTTTAATGTGGAAGCATTCATACATTGTTAAGCTTGAACTCGTCTCTCTCTTAGATACGGGTACTTTAAGTGTATTGTTATTAAATGCAAAGAAATGTGACCTCTAACACAAATAGAGAAATTTGCTTAAATAGACATCCTAAACAAGTAATCGTCGATGGTTACTAGCCCATGTTTGGGCTTTGTGGAGACTGTTTGGGTATTCCCACGTTCTTGCTGGCTCTGTGTGATCGGTGGATCTGGAACTGACTGTTTAACGCTGGTTCGCGAAATATCGCAGAAGCAAGAGTCGTCACCGTCTTTTATTTTCTCCAAATGGAAAGGACAAAAGCACAGAAAAATTCCTTATAGAGGTTGCTCTCGGTTCGGGAGGTAGATTATAGAAAGGGAAGGTGTTAGCACCCTTTCTATCCATGGTTATCCATGGGCTCTTAGATACTTGCTCACTTGTGTTTTTAAAAATGGTTTGTTTGCTTTTCAACTGTGGGTTTTTAAAAGTTTCTTTGAAAATTCCAGTTCGACTCTTGTATCGGTCCTCAAGAGTGTTTGAAAAATTGCTTTCGAAAGCTTTTTGAAAAGGTGTCGGTGTGAAAAGTATTTTTTGATTTGTTTTTGAAATTAGAGCAAGTATCTAGAGTCGTCTACCTACCCTAAGGAATTCGTCTGTGTAAATGTCCTTTAAAGCAGTGCCATCCCACCATTGAGAGGTAGGTAGCACCACCGTTGGAGGTGTTCGGGTCAATTCGAGGTTCGGGACATGGTGATCACCAGAGCAATGGGAAGACACCTTAGAAGCTACCCTCATGTCAGGTTCCCGAATCATGAGGACTTACTAAGACATCCTCTACTCGACGATCACCTTTCGAGGCAAGGCAACAGTGAGGCGTACCCTAGGGGTGGTGTGTGATTTGTGTGTCGTTTTCATTTATTTTTGTCTTTTGTCAAAGTGATCTATGCGTTTGTTTTTATTTTATCATTCATTCTTGCATGTCATTATTAATAGTTAAAAATTACGAGAAATATAAAGTTCCTAAACTATTACAAAAGCGCGGGTCCACATCGCCAAAATTAAAATCCAGGACCCGATTTGACGGAAAGTAAATAAAGAAATAAAATAAGGTGCGAGAAATTAAGTTTACAAGGCTTTGGGAGAGTTACATAAATATTTAAAAGAAGGAAATAAATAAAAATGTGCGAATAGGAATTAAAATTGGAAATGAGGCCGTTGGACCCTTTTTAATGAAGTTAAATTAAATGATTAAACTAATGAAATTAAAGAGAAAAAAGAAATTATTATTTTTTTTTGAGTTTTTGGTATTTATGTTTTTTATGTATTTTTATGAGAAAGATTAAATGAAATTAAAATATTAACCCTAATTCTAATTTTTTTTATTTATTAAGAAAAAAAACATGTTAAAATTAAACCTAAAATTAATCTAATTATTTACATGCAATTTTGATTTATAAAAATAAATAATTAATTATTAGTGAAATTTATTTACAAAAAATATTAATTAAATAAATATATTTTGATTTTTATGACTTTTCTGTTTTTTACTATTTTTTATATTTTATGAAAATAAGTTAAATTAAAGGAATTAATTAAAAAAAGAAATAATTGAAATAAATAAAATAAGGAAAAGAAAGAAAATACAATACCTTGGGGGATTTCTGTCCCCTTTTTGGAGGTGAATTGGAGTGATTTGGCCATGTATTGGTGTCATGCATAAGTTGTTCTACTTTGGCCATTTGCCTTTTGGCTTTTGGCCATTTGTGTTTTGGCCTCAACGTTCCTTAATCTTCTCAGGATGTCTGTCTCGCCATGTATTGGGGTCATGTGTAAAATGTTCTGTTTTGGCCATTTGGCTTTTGGCTTTTGGCTTTTGGCCTCAACGTTCCTTAATGAACCTGCATGGGATCTTGTCTAAATCTGCAGTGTTGAATCTCACGAACACATTAAATAAAATCATAAAATGCAAATAAAGCCAATATATGAAGAAATTTAATATTTAGGCACAATATGGCATGTATGAATGATTATACCCTTTTGATCATGGAGATCAAATCAATCTTACCATTACTGGAAAATTAGTGACCTGAATGCTTTTATGCCTTACTGGAAAATTAGGATCATGGAGATCAAGCCAGCCTTATCCTTACTGAAGAAGTAGTGAGGTATTGGTTTGTAACTGTGATGGCTTGTTTGTAGTGAGAGAGGGATTTGTAATAAGGATTTCGAGGTTTTAGGGTTCTTGAAAGAATTTGATATAGTGTTGTGGCCAGGTTTTTTCTCTCTTTTCCTCTTTCCTGGTTTGTGTGAAAAGAAGGTGATTATATAATGAAAATTAGGGTAAAGCAAATGGGCTTTGAATGTGCAATTGGGCCTCCAATATTCACTTGAATTCGTCACTTTCCAGGATAAATCGCAGGGACTTAAGTGCATTTTTTGAAGTTGAAATGTGAAAACAAAATGTAGCCGACATCGAGAACTAACTCCTGTCCGAAAATCGACTCAATCGGATAAACGGTGAATTAGTTATGAATTTTTGAAGTTTCAGCTCAGACAAACTTATTTTGGGCTTCAGTGTCGACTGTGACACGTTCTTCAATAAAAAACTGGTATTGATCGGTGCATAATCCGGTCTCGACTTTTGAAGCAAAGTTGTAGATCTATGAGTCAGTAACCTTGTGTAAAAATATAAGCCCAATCCGATAAAAATTGACCGAGTTATGAATTTTCGAAGTTTCGGCCTAGATGAAATAATATTCAGCATTCAGGATTTTCAGCGTGTCACGCACTCTGAGCAAAAAACGAAGGCCTTTTGAATACCGTTTGAACTCAATACCTTCTGAGAAAATGTAGCCAACTCAATTTTTGAAATTTTGGCGCCAGAACCAGCTCGATACGATGAAAATCGACCAAGTTATGATTTTTTGAACATGACGCAAATAAACTTCTGTCACAAATTTTCTGCACGAAAATACTTGATAAATCCACATTTTTGAAGACCTTCTGATCGAAATTGGCTTCTAGCCGTGAGAGATGAAAATGTAGATAAT